CCTTTCGCTTGTTTATAGCATGTTAGAGAAAGACATTCTCGAAAGTTTTATCAAGTTCCCTTCGAAGAAGAAGAATTTGTTATTCATAGATAACGACGATAACGATTCTTTTTCTCGTTCATTGTAGTTATCCCCAATATTCCAGCCGACGCCCGATGGAAACAGAATGGTGTGCCCGTTGCTGGAGGTCACGGGAAAGGTGATGCCACAAATCAACTCAACTGGCCTCATGGTCTCTTCGTTGATGATGATCAAACGATTGTCGTCACTGACCGGTGGAATCATCGGATCATCCAATGGAAGATGGGTGATACGAATGGACAAGTAGTAGCTGGTGGGAAGGGACGAGGAGATCGACTGGATCAACCAACCGATGTGCTGATCGACAAAGAGACTGATAGTCTCATTATCTGTGATCAAGACAATCGACGAGTCGTACGATGGCCTCGTCGCAGTGGCACAACTCAAGGAGAAATCCTCATCGACAACATCGACCCTTGGGGATTGGCCATGGATGATCAGAAATATCTCTACATCTCTGACTACAAGAAACATGAAGTAAGACGATATCAAATAGGAGACACGAATGGAACTCTCGTGGCTGGTGGCAATGGCAAAGGTGCTGATCGCAATCAACTCAACCGTCCGAGCTACATCTTTGTCGATCAAGAACAGACTGTGTACGTGTCAAACAACGGAAATCATCATGTGATGAAATGGAATAAGGGTGCAACAGAAGGAATTGTCGTCGCTGGAGGTCAAGGCCAAGGGAATGCTCTGACACAATTGTCGCATCCTACAGGACTGTTCGTCGATACCTTGGGTACCATCTATGTGGCAGACTCGGGGAATCACCGAGTGATGCGTTGGCCTAAAGAAGAGAAACAAGGCACTGTCATTGTGGGTGGAAATGGTTGGGGAGAAGGAGCAAATCAGCTCAAATGTCCCCGTGGTCTGTCCTTCGATCGACAAGGCAATCTCTATGTCGCCGATCGGGACAATGATCGTGTTCAACGATTTTCAATCGAATGAACTCAACACGATGGATTATTTTTCTTTCCTTTCAAATAAATTCATGTTGAATTGATGAAAGCCATGCTTATTCTATTCGCACGCGCGCGACCAGGAACTACCCTGGTGGAGCCGTGGCGAGCGTAAGGCTCATGCACGCGTGGGAAGACCCACGTCATCCACATGCACCCATCCGATGTCATGTGTCAGTGAGTCTGGGGTCCCAGTCGTGTGCCACGGACACCAAAGCAGTTCCTGGCCGGGCTTTTAGGGATTACCCGGAATTCCTTCATATAACGCGAACCTAATCTCAACGGACAGAACTCACCCTCTATTCTCATACTCAAAAAAGAAAAAAAATGAATTATTGAAAAAAATCATAGAAGGACTTACCATCCTCCATATGATATAAAAAAGAAAAAAAAACAAAAATTAAAACTAATACCTACATATTATTTTATGGTCTTGTTAGATGTTGAACTGTTCCATATCATGTTGTTGAAGGCATTCTGAAATATAAAAAAAAAGAATTATTATTTTATTCAATATATTGAATGATTTTTACATAGAAAATCATTCATATTTATATGTCAAAAAATCGATTATTTTCTGTTTTTCGTCAGAGAGTGATCAAAAGACGAGATTAATTATGTCATATTATCATTGATCATCAATGATAACATGAACGATAAGTTTTGGACGAGAGAAAGGAAAGAAAAAAATTCTCTTCGCTTTTTTTCTCAATCTTTTTTTCTCAATCATGTTCATTTGTGAACACAAAGCAGACGAACACACACGATATTCAAGTATGTGTTGTTCATCATTCAAATTCATTTTTTACAATGAAATAATTGTGTTTTGGTTGGAATGTCAACGTTCAGTTCATGTTGTTGTTGTTGTTGGAAATCATAACATCAAAAAGATGTTCATCTTAAACAACTACGAAGGTAAATTGTTTTATTTTATTGTAAAAATATGTTATTGATACACGTAGAGACACGCGGGGCGAATCTAGAGACTTTTTTATATTTTTCTCTTTCATTCTCTATACCTTTGTCAGTTTAGAAGATAGAAAAAGCTTTTTCTTCACAAAGAATGTAGAGCAAACATTTTTCTTCAATTTTCTGTTTTCAGATTTTCAAAATCTTGTCGGGAACAGACTCTACGTCGGTTTTACTGAGAGCCCTAGTAGCATTCTAGATTCACCCCGTTTTGGGGCGAATTCAGAATTATTCATTGTATAGTGGGGCGAATCTAGAATTCTATTGAATTTCAGCTTTGTCACTAAAATTAAAGTTTCTCGTCCATATTTTATCCGATTTTGTTCATTTTTTCATTAATGTGTAGCCTAATCATTTCTCTACAAATGTATACTAGTTTCATTCAACAGATCTTTAATATGTCCAAGCACCAGATCTTCTTCTGGAAGCACCAAGAAAAAAAATTGTATCGATTCGCCCCATGCGGGGCGAATCTAGAATCTTGATCTTGATATCCTGTAGGCTTAACGCCCGTTGGGGCCAACCACTTTTCGTATCAGTTTCTTCCATTGATTTCTGTCTTGTGCTATGTGCGACAAGTCTTGACAGCTGTGACTACACCATTGTGTTATGTCGTCCTCTTCTGGATTTTCCATTCATTCTAGAAAATACAATATGTTTGATGAGTCTGTTGTCTGCCATTCGGCAGATGTGTCCGAATAATCTTAGTTTCCGTGTTTTTATGTTGTCCACTATAGTCGTGTGAGCCGCTATTCTGTTCCTAATATCGATGTTGCGCACCATATCTTTCCATTTTATTCCTAATATTCGACGGTAACATTGCATTTCAAATGCCAGAAGTTTCTTCTTATCGGATTCTTTGAGAGTCCACGTCTCTGATGCATACAGTTGTACGCTGAATACGCAGGTTTTCAGTAGTTTCAACTTACTTTCGACCTTGAGTTTCTTTGTATTCCATATATGTTTCAGACTGGACATTACTCCTACTGCTTTGTTAATTCTTCGTTTAATTTCCACTGAGCAATCATTGTCCCAAGTCACCATCCTTCCCAGATATTCGAACTTTTCAACATTTTCGATGGTTGTACCTGCTATTTGTATTTCTTCGTCGATGTGTTTGTCACCAAATACCATTGTCTTAGTTTTAGCAGTGTTTACCATCAATCCTGCTTTGTCAGCTGCTTTTATCATTTGTTCAACTTGATTGTGAAGCGAATGGCAATCTTCGTTTAGAAGATTGATGTCATCGGCGAATCTTAAGTTGTTTACTAGAGTTCCGCTGACGTTGACTCCGCTGTCTTCCTTTATTACCGCGTCCATCACTCTCTGCAGATAGGCGACGAATAGAATTGGTGACAGCGGATCTCCTTGTCTGGTTCCAATGTTGATCGAGAACCAGTCGCCGCTGTCTGTGCCTATTCGCACTGCTGATTGTGATTTTTCATATATCTGTTGTAATAGTATTACCAGCTTGTTATCGACTCCATAGGACCTCAGGACAGCCCATATGATATTGTGTTTAACAGTATCAAATGCTTTTTGGAAGTCAACGAAGCAATTATATAATTTTTTGCCATTTCTTTTTGCTTTCTCGGCTAGGAGCCTGAGAATCAAAATCTGATGGACGGTGCTTCTGTCTTTTCTGAATCCTGCTTGTTCTTCTGCCATGTATGGATCCAGGTGGTGCTTAAGTCTGTTTAGAAGCACTATAAGTAGAATTTTTCCCGTGTGATTGATAAGGGAAATAGTTCTGTAGTTTGAACATTGACTGAGGTCTCCTTTCTTATGAATCGGCACTAAGATGGATTTTCCCCTATCGTCTGGAATTGTTTCTTCTTTCCATACTTTGTTGCATAGTTCATAGATTTCATGCACCAGCTGTTCGCCTCCGGTTTGTAACATTTCGGCTGTGATTTCATCTGTTCCTGGGCTTTTGTTGTTCTTGAGCTTGTGTAATGCTTCTTGTACTTCAGTATATAATATTTCGTTCGAATTTTCCTCATCAGGGGGAGTTATCCGTTTTAGATCTTCCACCATGTCTTCACCACCGCCATTATCTTTGTACAGGCTGCTGCAATATTTTGTCCATCGTTGTTTTATGTGTTCCTTTGATTGTAACAATGTGCCATCATGTTCTTTTATAGCGGTTAATTTTGGTTCGAATTTCTTCTCTAGCATTTTCACCAATCTATATGCTTTCTTGATGTTTCCAGTGTGTAATCCTTTTTCAATTTCTTCGCATTGTTCTTGTATCCATTTGTCCTTGCCTTGCCTTGCCGATTGCTTCACCTTTTGACAGAGAAGTTTGTATGTTTTGTTGTGCTCCATAGACAGGTGTTTTATTTGTTTTGCTTTTCTCTTCTCATCGACCAGGTTTATTGTTTCATCAGATATCCATGGCTTTTTCGCTGGGATTACTTTAGTTGGAACCGTTTCTTGTAAAGCTTTCTTGATTGCTTTTTCAATTTGTATTGCGTGTTCGTTCAGGCTGCATGCTGGATCTATGTGTTTTAGATTTGCTTCTAATTTTGCTTGGTAAGTTTGTCTTGCTGTTCGTTCTTTCAGTTGGCTCATGTCAAATCGTTGGTTATGCCGTGGCTTGTTTTGCAATTTTTTCGATCGCAATTTGATGTTGTACAGTACTAAGGAGTGGTCTGAGCTGATGTCAGCACCTTGGAATGTTTTGCAGTTGATGACGGATGTTTTCCATCGTTTCTGGATCATTACGAAGTCAATCATGTTCTTATGAAGACCATCTGGTGCTTCCCATGTCCACTTTCGACTTGGTTTTTGTTGAAATCTGGTGTTGCAAATAAATAAATTGTGTTCAACTGCAAACTCCAACAGTCTTTCGCCTCGTTCGTTTCTTTTTCCATAACCGTGCCTGCCCATGACGTACTCCCAGCCTTAATTATCATCACCCACCTTTGCATTACAATTACCAGTAATGATAATTATGTCTTTTTTGGGCGCTTCGGCTATAGCGTTCTCTACGCCGTCTTAGAACGACTCGATCTCATCTTCCGATGATTCGGCTGTCGGAGCATAAACGTGAATTATTGTTACGTTGAATGGTGTTGCGTTGAATCTTGCCGTGATTATTCGGGAGTCGATTGGATTGTAGCACAGAAGTAATTTTCTCGCTTTTGCACTAAGCAGGATTCCAACACCTTTGGTATGTGTGTTGCTTTCTCCTGAATAGATGAAGTCGCCGCTTGATGTTTCACCTTTTCCTGTCCAACGAACTTCTGATATGCCAATAACATCATATTTGTACCGTTTCATTTCATTTCGTAGCAGCTCGAGTTTCCCCGTTGCCCACAATGTTTTTACATTCCAGGTTCCGACGGTGAATATGTCTTTCGTGATGTTCAGCTTGCTTGTCATTGCATTTGCTGGTGCTAAATTTATTGTTTGACTCGTTGTTGCACTTGGTGTTGTTGAATTTGTTGTTGATGAATTCGCTGTTCCGTTTGCTGTTGTTGAATTCGCTGTTCCATTTGCTGTTGTTGAATCTATTGTTGATAAATTCGCTGTTGTGGAATTCGCTATTGCGCTCACTGTTGTTTAATTTGTTGTTGTTGCATTCGCTGTTGCATTCGCTATTGTTGACCTTTCTGCTGAATTTATTGTTGTTACTTGGTTTGTTGTTGCTGGAAGAATTGATGTTGCGTTTGTTCTTGAATTGTTTGTTGTGCTCATGATTGCGGTTGTGGTTGTGGTTGTTCCAGTGGCCAATTTTTCGACTCTGTCCTGGTTCCCCAACAGAGGACGCGGACCTTGTTCACTCTGGCGACGTCCGAGCCGGTATAATTTGTGATTTCTATCATTCATGGTTGGTTTCTGTCGTCTTTTCTTTTTCCAGACGGCGGTATCTGCACCCCTTCCGTCTAACGCTCCTCCTTTATCCGGACTTGCAAGCGGCATAGTAGTCGCCAGGTGGCGATTCCTATGGTGGAGTTGAATCTAGAATACTCTTTATTTTTGCTGCGTACATTAACAACAAATTTTCGGGCATATCTTAAAGTTTTCTCGATTCATGCTCGCTACCAAAAATGTTCAGTTCGTCAAACTCTACAAGACTATGCTAGTTTTGTCACTTGAAGGTGAATAAAGGATTTATTTTCGGCAAAATCAAATTAAAAATCCATGAATTTCCCCGGTTTTGTGGACAATTTTAATAATCAAATTGAATTTTGATTATTTTTAGGCTTATCTGAGTATTATTTTTCAAGTTTATATGTTATAGAAATATTTAATTGAGTCTTCATAGAGTTTAGTGGATACATCGTGCGAAATGGGGCTTTTTCGGAAACTATGCTCTCAGATCCGCTGCATTTTTAGAGTCTGTTGAGCAGGATTTTTTTTGTCATAGCAAGTGTGTGTCGTCTAGTGCGTGTATAGACAATTTATGAAAAAGGAATAAATGTTTTATCTTCATACTATGATTTCCTAGTAGTTATTGAATTTTTGTGTCAAAAGATATACCCATATGATGGTTTAAACACCGACAAGGCTGTCGATGTGTGTTTTTTTGCATGAATAACTGTGGTTCGTATTTCGATGAAGGAAGCTAAGGCAAGAGTAGATGCGAACATGTGTCTTTATATTTAAATGAGGTTCTCGTGAAAAGTATTAAAGAAAATAGAATCTTGTGCACATTAGAGCGTTCTTTTCTTATTGATGCAAAGAGCAAAAGAACTAATTTTCATTGATAATGGACGATGACATGTGCTATATTTTTTGTGAAAATAGTCAATATTAATTGTTGGAATGGATAAAAGCTGACTTAAACTTGATTAGGTAGCTTTTTTCTAGGCTCAGTCTTAAGATTATTATTAACTAGACAAATACGCAATATGATTTGTACTATGCTTAAATTATTCATAGATAATCAGTAAGGATGAAAAGTACGACCATCAGTCAATAATCGATTAACATGAATGAACTCCCATGAAATATTCGACAATTTTTTAATGAGTGGTTCAATGTTGTGTTTGTTAGATCGATACTGTCAATTGGTAGTAATCTGTGAGTGAAATTAATGTCTCCGTTGCAGGTATTTGCATCTTGCCGCTTGGTGAAAACGTAGCCAAGGTTTTGTATAATAACAGAACTAATTTTCGAATATGACTATATTACCTGTGAAGAAAGTGTTAAGAGAACGTTCTTGTTATTTTCTCATTTTAAAGCCACACGAGAAACAATTGAAATAGGATTTCTTTTCATTCAAAAATCATGGAAAAACACTGGAGATTTTTGTTTTCTTCTCGGCTAAGAAATGAAAAACACATTGTAGGGAAAAACTGGAGCTCAATAAAAACCATTGGAAAATGCAATGCATCGCTTTTTGTTGTAGCTTTGACAATAGATCTCGTCCGATATGCAGTAGTTGTGCTATTTTGATATTGAAGTTGTAACCACATATTTAAATTATCAGAGAATACTAAATTCAAAGCAAAAAACATTCGCAAGTAGAAGTTTTAAATAAGTAAGTTTTCTTATTTTTCATATAAAAGTGCTAAAAATTGTTGAAAAATCATGTCTTATCTCTGCCGACACTGACTCTACAATGTTTTGATTGATTAAGCGATTCAGCCAGCTTAATATTGACTTCATTTCCAAATACCACGGTATGAACTGCAGCTGTATTCTGCCTTTATATAAATTCTAATAGCATAAGGTTTCTCCATCCAGTAAAACAGCCATTAATAGCTGCATATGCTTTTTTACATCAACCTTATTGTGTCTTTTTCCAGATATTGACATCTCCCTTACAAGGTCATAACATATTGCCAAAGTCTTTCATTACTGTGAAAGAAAAAACTCAATTCGTCGTTTAGT